TTTTTCGAACTTTTGGGACAATATCGGCTGATAAAGAGAACATTTATATACATGTTTAAGCCAGAATGAGTTGACATTTAAATATGACTTCCCTACAACTTTAAACAAAATTAATTCAGTTTATGAGTCTTTTTTCCTTTTTGTTTTGTTCCTAAAAAAAATAAAACAGAATGTTTTTTTTATTTTAATTTAAGGTTGTCTAACATTTAAAGAGTCTAACAGACAGATTCTCACACCTAAACTGGGAGGATCTCTTAGCACACACTAATTTATATTGGCTTGTCACATAAAAATCCAAAAAACACACATAAGTTTTCCAAAGTGTGTATATTTATGTTTCTATTCAGCTGCATGGGATGTAGTCCGTGTGAAGCTGGCCTTATGAGATGAGAGCGGGAGTGAACATTAATTGATGGATGCAGATCTGAGAGCATGAATGTTTGAATTGGTGATCAATGAAGTTGCTTTACAGCAAATGGGATGCAACTTTGAAATAAACTACACATTAAGTCATCCTGCAGCTTTATCTGGATTTACTGAGTAGATAAATCAGGTCAGACAATGAAAAAGTTTGTCTGACTTAGAGGGACCAAAACAGGGTGAAGATTGATTGTATAAATAGTTGGCCTAAATGTTTGGAATCCCTTACAGTGGCTGAATCAGCAACTGGAAGAAATGAGACTAATGCGAGAAAGAAGCAAACCAGAGAGAAGAAGACAGGAGGGATGGGAAGCCACAATCTGCAGCGAGACACACCTTTCTTGGATCGTCTCGGTTTCGGCGGTGGAACAGGGCGGCGTGGAAGCTGTGCGTATGTGCGAGAGCCTTAATGACGTTTAGAAGGCCAGAAACAATAAAAGAAATGGAACCAAAAAAAAAAAAAAAACAGAGACAGACAGATGTCATTTTTTTTAATAAAAACAAGCAGCCCAGACCAAGCTGACGATGAGAAGCCAGCGAAGAGCGACACAGACGGCGACAAACTGGTGAGCAGCAAACAGAAGGGAGAAGAAGTGGAAGTGAAAAGGTTAAAGCATCTGCATGTTCAGCTCTGGGTAGGAAGCAGGAAACAGAAGCAAAGTGTTAGCTTGATCTTGCTGCTTTGCAACCCACCATTCACCACAGACAAACATTCTGACTCATTCTACTTTTAACCCCCCAAATATGGTCATAGCTTCCTTCGGTGCAACACAGAACACGTCAGGTTCATCTAATCGGATCGCTCTGTCTGAGTCACCAAGCCACAATCTATAGGGAGCTCGGTTTGCTACTTTATCAGTAAAAAACGCTCTTTGAATTTCCTTTTACGCATTTAGTCTAACAATAGACAAGCCAGAATATTCGTCAACACGTTTTCATACACCCTCTCTAGCAACACTTAGGTCTCATCTTTCCAATGTTTTCATGCAAACTTCCAGTAGAGTTTTATAACAGTAGGTCTTGAAACAGGCAGAAAACATGTTAAAGGCATAAGCTACCTGAGTCCACCTGGTCATGGCAGACACACAACGGGCTTAAATTGGAGGCAACTGAACTTGTGTCCTCCTGGCTCCGTTGTTTTGTATGGGTTTTATCTGCTTGTCTAACCTCTGAAGCATGAGTTCAAGGACCAACCACTAATCTCTATTTATTCACTGGATTGCTGATTGCCCGAAAAAAGTAAAGCCACCATCCGCCATGCTGGTACTCCCCACTCACATGGAGATGCGCAGTAAAAATGCCTACGTGTGTAGCATTTGACTGCAGAAAATAAGCAGTTTGCCGGCTGTAGGAAGACGTTCCACATGTAGTTTAGAGTCGGTGGATGTACTAATCAAGAAAATCCTTATATACACTGATGTATCCTATAGTATAGTATGTATCGTAACCTTAGTCTGCTATCTCGGACCGACTCGGAGACATTGACTGAGTTAGCCATTGACATTGTGTCTAATGTTAGAAAATAGAGGAAATACAAAGTAATTCATAGTGAAATGTCAATGTAGTAATTCTTTAATAAGTGGATGACACTGTTGTTTTGTAGTGTTTGCTGTATTTCTCATTTGAAAAAGCCATGTGCTGAAAGATATTGCATGTTATATTGATGAAAAAAAAAACTCTAAAATTTTTAAAGGCTGATGCACAGAGCATTAAAGTATATGGCATCATCCATGCACAGTTTTCAAATAGGAAAATACTATAGCATTAACAGACATGTACTCGTAATTCAGTCTTTATGTAACATTTTTTTAATTATATGTAATATGTAATTACTATAACAATGTAATAAATACATGTATATTACATGTACATCATCAAGTTAGCACGTTTGGCATGTCAGTATTATTATGCTCCTTTAACACATTAATCTTTGATGGATTTGTATAATATGTTATATTACATAATTTATAAGACTTTATAATGACTATGCAATGTGATGTGCTTATTTTTATTATTATAAGTTAAAGTAATCTACTTATGTTATGAAACAGCAAGTATGTGTCAAAGTGATAAATTTATACACCCATCCATCCATCCATTTCCATCACACTTATCCCAAGCGGGATCGCGAGGGGTGCTGGTGACGACCTCCAGCTGTCTACGGGCGGGTTGCCAGTCCATCGCAGGGCAACACAGAGACAAACAGAACAAACAACCATTCACACAAAGCTCACACCTAAGGAGAATTTAGAGAAGCCAATTAACCTAACAGTCATATTTTTGGACGGGGGGAGGAAGCCGGAGTACCCGGAGAGAATCCACGCATGCTCAGGGAAAATGCAAAGTCCTTGCAGAAAGACCCTGGGTCTTGAATTTATCTTTTATTCTAAAAGTCTTAAGTCCCCAGAAAATGAGAACATCATTGTTGTTCAATGCGGTAGCGCTTGTATTGTTTACATTGCGACCGATCTAAATAGGGAGTACCAATATGGCGGACGATGGCTTCACTTCAACACCGTACTACCAACGGGCAACCAGCAATCCAGTGAATAAATAGAGATCAGTGGGACCAACCTGTAAATGCTTGGAAGCTGAAACCACAATCCTTCCCCTCTGTTCAGCGATGGCTTCACTGAAAACAAAAGACTCCAACAACCCAGGAGAAGGACGATTTGAATCGGACTTGGAATGTTCTTAGGAGGGTGAACCTCAAAACATCAGAGCTCAAACTGCAGATCACTTCAGTGCGAGCAACAGAATTAACAAAGACTCCTGGATAGCTGTCAAAATGTTTATGGAGAATCTGAGCGAACATCTGGTTGCCTCCGATTCAAGCCTGTTTAATGTTTGCTAAGATAACACCATTGTCTGCAGATCTCAAGCAGAGCTACCCTCCGTACCATCATCATCCTCAACGCTGCTCACTTATGTAATTATAGGCTTTAGCTTTACTGCTTTCACTGTAAATACAGGGAGCTTTAAGTGAGCTTCTGATTTCTGAGGAGAATTTCCTAGTTGACAAAACAAATGCTTATGCTAGCTTTAAAGGAAGAGTACAGCCATAACATGATTAGCCTTCATTTTCTACTCACCCCCA